TAAATACATAAACAAATTGAAGCCAAACTCCAACTCACACTTTATAAGCCCCTTTTACAAAGGGCGAACCTGACAGTGGATCTGCTTGCTTAGCGGGGATCTCTCCACTGATCCCCGCTGATCAAGTGGACACAGACACAGCCCGCTGTCCTCTATGGGTGGTCGGATGGAAACTGACCATCTGTCCATTTCCATCCGACTGCCATCCCATCCAATCCGATGGACGGAAGGGGAATGGATCCCCATCTGTCTCTTTTTGGCGGGTCGGATCAGATTGGATGTCGGCAGATGTAAACGAACACATACTTACACATGCCGCTCCATAGAGGAGAATAGAGGTTCTGATCAGGTCTGCCTAAAAAATAGGCAGGCGGACCCGATCAGAACATCCGTGTGAGAGGGGCCATAAGCAGTTACAGCAACAGTTTTTTCCTTCTGGGATAAAGGTTTTACATAAATAAAAGCTGATCATTGTATTTGCCCATGTAAGTGTGCAATGGTTTTTTTTAATCTTTGTAATGATACATTCTGCGGAGGGCTTGTTCTTTTGAAAAACAACAGACTTACTTGCTGGATCACCAGATGAAAATAGAAGAAAGAAAGACTAAAAAAGAAAACAAATGCAACCATCACATCTACAAAATAGCAAGCTGCAATTTAATAAATGTTTGCTTTTGGTTTAATACCACTTTAAGGTTACTAAATACAGCTTTCACTAGTTGTAATACAAATACTATATATGTTATCAAACAGTGTAAAAAAAGTAAAACATCTCAACCCTTAAAGGATGTAGTATGATTTCACAAAACTGCAACAGGATATACAGTAGTTACATAACATGCGGGGAACATTTTAGTCACGGACCTTGTTTAAGCTTGGTAGAACTTTGATTTATAATGTGTTTTATGCTACTGTATATTATCTATTTTAAGCCTTCCCCGATTATAAATGTTTTATACTGCTTTATGTACATATCCCTTATAGGCAGGGTGATAATGTTCATATCTAATGAGAACTCCATTGGTAGCAAGGCTGGGAACAGTTATCATAACTGTTAGCCCTGTTATTACGCCACTGAAAGACAAGTACTATATATCAAGATAGCAGTGAGGGACAAACTGGGCCTGATAGAATAATGCATATGTGTATATAAACATACATAAATTAGTGAAGCGCTATATCAACCTAAATCATAACCATAGCTACATTCATGCTAATTGTGCCACTTGTGTCAACATAATAGTGCTCAGTGATAAATGACCCATAAACAGGAGTATATCCTTATGGTGAAATTATTACACAAAAATAAAGTGAATATATTACCAGTGATAAAAATATCATGTGTATAAACAATATATTCAGTCCTAATAATCATTCAATATATTACCATATAAATGTGAATCACAAATAAAAAAACATCTGTGAATGATTAAAATGTAAAGTCCATGCAAGTGAAACTGTGTTAAAAAGGTGATCTTCACTCTGGTGAATATATCCTCAATTGGCAGCAATGCCTGCTCACCTCCACACAATGACCCACACAGGGCCAAATGGGATGTGGTGGCAGGCTGATGTACTAGGGGAATACATGTGAGTGCAATTTTATTCTATATTTACTTCCAAATAAACAGCATTGCACTATGGAAGGATCTTTTTGTGTCTCACTTATATGCCATTGAGTGGAGGTGGAGCGGAATAGATACGCTGGGGGAGGAGTCTCCATTTACCTTGTGGTCCCTGGATGAGGAGCATATTTATGAGGATCTGGTACAAAGAAGATTATTAGCCTTTTGGCCCTGTGTGGGTCATTGTGTGGAGGTGAGTCCAGACTCATCTCTATTGATGGGTCTGGACTCTTTTAACAATTTTAAATGCACCATCCATATAGGAATAAAACAACATTTTTTTTGCAGAACTATCAGTAATGGCAACTGTAACAAAATTGCACATTTTTAGAGAACTGCACTTGTGGTGTTGCACATATGTGTTTGTGTTTATACTTAGAAGTTGTAGTGCTAGTCAGCGTACAAAATACCATACGCTGGTGCACTGACCAATTATTATTTTCTCTTTTTTTTTTTTTAAGTTATTTTTTAAAAATATTTGGCCTAGACGTTCTGTGGTATATCCTTCAGGAACAAGGGGCATAAAAAGCAACATTTTTGGCTGTTAAACATTTGAGGTGAACTAGAACCACAACACCTGCAAAAAGCATGCATGCATGGCTGCAATCCAGTTGTACCCTGTGGTTTATCCTGTTTCTCATGCTCCTTTTTTTTCTAGTAATTCAACCTTACCATGCTCTTTTATGTGGTAGGAGAGTTGTTAAAGCTTTTGATTTTGCTGATACATAAAAACTGTGTCTGTTGTATTTAAAGCAGGATTAAACCCAAAATAAAACATGTAATACATTGCAGTTTACCAGTCCTTTGATGTGGTGGCTGTATTCATTTTTTTTTATTAGATGTTTTTCCTTTATTTTCACCTCGTGATCTGGCCAGTAATACACTTACTGTCTTAAAGCAGAGCTCCACCCAAAAGGGGAGGTTCCGCTTTAAGCCTTTGTCCCCTGCTCCCCATTAAAAATTGGCACCTTTGGGAGCGGGTACCCAAATTTGAGAGGTACCCGCTCCCACTTCCGCTGTGATCACCTAGGTGATCAGAAGCGGAAGTTGTCCTCCTACCCTGTAGTCTTCTGGGATACGTGACAGGTCCCAGAAGACTACGGGGGCATTCACAAAGCGCATGTGCAATAGGCACCCGGCTGTGAAGCTGCAAACTGTCACAGACGGGTGTCTACACTGAACATGCCAGCACCAGGGAGAGAAGATGGCCGGTGAAACCAGCGGTTGTGAGGACACCACGGGACCGAGGGACAGGTAAGTGGCTGTATTTTAAAAGGCAGCAGCTACAGCTTTTGTAGCTGCTGACTTTTATATTTTTTTTACAGGTGGAAATCTGTTTTAAGTCAGCTTTAGATGGATCAAAATTCAGTCAGGTAAGCAGGGACTGGCTGAATTTCAATGTATGGGAAGGCTCGTTGTACAGAAGTCGATCTGCTGTATTTTTATGCTCAGTCAGTGCCACAGGTTATAGTTGGCAGCACTGATCAGTGTATTTCAATGGCGGGGAAGTCTCCCTGCTTAAGAATACAATCACTCAGCAGGTAGGATTTCATCATTCCACCTTCGGGTCTTTTTTTTTTTTTATCTGTAATAGTATTGTTTATTTATGTTGTAGTATTGTTTATTATAAACTTTATTTTAAAGGAAACCTGTCTTAAGAGAAATATTCAAGCATCCTTAGCTGATCCCCTAATTACCACACTAGCTGACCAGATTGTCACAATGATTTTCTGAATCCAATTCTTCTGCAGTTAATGACTAAGAACCAATTTGCAGATCATTTTGATCCTCTAGCTGCATACTTTTAGGTCAATCACTCAGAAGGTATTGAGGAGAGAATCAGCATGGCAGCCAGATAACAGCAATTTTTTAAAAAGGGAGGTAATGGTAGGAGTATTTCGCTCATTACAGGTTTCCTTTATACAGGCACTATCATCTTGTCCCTTCAGTGTTTTTGTAAAGATTTCCCCCAGCCCTAGTGATACTCACCTCTCGAGCCACCCCCCATTCCTGCCTTTGTCACAGCCACTCTAATCTAACCAGTAATAGGAAGGAACAGATGACTGTAGGGGTGAGTATCAGTGGGTAGGGGAACCTTTAGTCAGGGCATAATGACAGTGTCTCTTAAACAAAAAATTATCCAGACATAACATTCCACTCATTTTTTTGTAGCTGTTGCAGGAGTCTCGGAGGATCTTCAATGAATATCTCTCAAGTAACTCGGTGTGTCCAGTCAATGTGGATCAGCAGGCACTTATCACAGAGGAGATGCTGAGCAATCCATCTCCTCATCTTTTCAAAGCACAGCAGCAACAGGTGATTGTGCTTATAATTGTGCCACAGTATTAGATTTAAGGGGCATTCATACCAATGTGTGCATGTTTTGTTTGCATCTTCATGAGCTGATGTGCATTAATGTACAGGCCATCCATTTTCTATTGATCCTCAAAGCAAATCCAAGCATCATGAAATGTATATGAACTTTCTTCCTATATACAATGCAGGTATTTACATGTGTATTTGTGGTGTCAGTTCCTTATTCAGGATCAGTAACTCTGAATCATTTTCATCAAGTTCTGGTGACTATGGACTCCGTTTAGGCAATCAGAGTTGAGTTGGCTGCAGGATAGTCATGGTTGTGACTTGTTTCTCTAATGAAAATCTGTGCTAAAATTGTAGTATAGCAGCCATAGAGGCAGGATGTACTGTTCTACTGTCTAAGTGTGCACTAATATTTCTAAACACAGAAGTAGTTCAGTTTTACTTACCCTACTTGTATACAGATTTATATATAGTGTCATTGACTATAAATATTTTAATATCTGACCTGTATCAGAATGTAGGATTCAATCAGAATTTCAATTTTCTTTAATTCAGATATTCAATCTGATGAAGTTTGATAGCTATGCCCGCTTTGTGAAGTCTCCTCTGTACCAAGAGTGCATGTTATCAGAGGTAGAAGGACGTCCTTTACCAACCATTAGCTCCTTGTGCACGAATTTAGCAGCAGGCTGCAGTACTTTTCACCCTGGGGCAATAAAGGTGAGAACAATGAATGGCATTTTTTTCAGCAACAGTCAGTGGTTTTAATATCATGCATGCTTTTAGTTGTTGGAATGGTTAGGTGGTGTTTGCATATCTGGCACATCAATGAACAATGCAAATGTGAAAAGTGTCTTAGCTGAGAGCAATGAATTAGAGCTCACGTTAAGTAAAACAATGAATTATTGCTGTGGATTTCGCCAACTTTCTCTTATATTTTAAAATATTTATATTTACTATTATATTTATATTTAGAAAAAAAAGCTGAAACCTGGGAAGTCTTTGCCACTTGATGTTGAGGCAACTGGCTCAGATATAACTGAGGGTTCCAAGCTCCACAGAAGATCATTCAAGAAGAAGGACAGAAGGGCAAATGTTAGAGGTAAAAATATTTGCATTTCATAAAATATTCAATGTTCTTTTCCTTTTCCAGTACACTTAGAGTTTAAATTATTTACCTAAATCCACGGCTCAAACCATCATGAAGAACATTATTATTATTATTATTATTATACAGTATTTATAAAGAGCCAGTAGTTCGTTCAGCGATGTACATTACAAAGGGGGACAGAGTATGTGACAGAACAATAACAATACAATGCAAAACATGAGGGGATTGAGGGCCCTGCTCTTTCGAGCTTACAATCTAGGAGGGAGGGGATGGTGGCACAGGAGGAGATAGCTGTGGGGGATGGAGTGGTAGGAAGAGTGGAGGAGGTCGGCAAGTTAGCAAGGGGGTGGGGTAGGCTTCCCTGAAGAGATGGGTTTTCAGGGTGCGCCTAAAGGAGAGGAGAGTAGGTGATAATCTGATGGGTTGGGGCAGGGAGTTCCAGAGGATGGGTGACACCCTGGAGAAGTCCTGGAGGCGGGCACGGGAGGAGGAGACCAGGGAACTAGAGAGAAGGAGGTCTTGTGAGGAGCGGAGTGTGCGTGTTGGGTGGTACTTGGATATTAGGTCAGTGATGTAGTTCAAGGCAGTATGGTGGACGGCTTTGTACGTCAGTGTTAGGATTTTGAATTTGATCCGTTGCGCAATTGGAAGCCAATGGAGGGATTGGCAGAGGGGGGTGGCGGAGATGGAGCGGTTGGAAAGGTGAATGAGTCTGGCTGCCGTATTCAGGATCGACTGAAGTGGGGATACCCAGCGGTGAGGCAGGCCAGTGAGGAGGGAGTTGCAGTAGTTGAGTCGCGATATGATGAGGGAGTGGATGAGCTGTTTAGTCGTTTCTGGGGTTAGGAACGTGCGTATTTTGGCGATGTTGCGGAGGTGGATGCTTGTTAAAGATTGGACTTGGGGCTGGAGGGATAGGTTGGAGTCCAGAATGACACCAAGTACTCTGGCCTGCGGGGCGGGTTTGATGGTGGCATTGTTGGACATGATGGAGAAGTCAATGGGGGGTGGTGTCCGGGCTGGGGGGAAGACAAGAAACTCGGTCTTGGAGAGGTTCAGTTTAAGGAAGTGGAGCGACATCCAGTCAGATATGTCGCTCAGTAGGTGTGTGATTCGGGCAGAGACTGAGGGGGTGAGGTGGGGGGTTGAGAGATAGATTTGTGTTGCAAAAAAATTCCTATTTATGAGAATATGATGTAAGAATACATATGCTGTTGTTGCTGATCTCCATCTGAAAAGGTTAGTTACCTGGTTGCAATGCTGATCCTTTAGTTCCAAGAAAAAGTCAGTCACCTGGAAGTATGCAGACCATAAGTTCAGACTTCACTTGCTGCATGCCTGTTCTGGGGATAGCGGCTGACAGCTAGATGGTTAAAATATTTAGGCTGAGGTAAGCAATGGCACTCCAGGTACATACAGTATATCACAGCAAGTTTATTTGAAAAACCTCTACTTTGTAATGTCTAAAAGTATGCAAGCACATATCAGTGTAGCAAAAAACATACAGTCCATCTTGAGTCAGATCTATACTAATAGAGTCTGTAAACTTGTGTTCAGCACTAGATTTTATCAGTGTTTCAAACGCAAAATGCATGTAAATGCATGTAAACGCGCCTAAACGCGAGTAACCGCGTTTATAGTCATTGCGGTTGAAAATTTTTTAACTCTTCCTTTTCCAGATGCTGTCCAGAGAAAAATGCATGCAAAGTGTTTTCCCAGTACTCAAATGGACCTAGCACACCATACTTTGAGGTTTCGCATGAAAGAAAATATGTTAGACACTGCTGCAGTAATTTCTGCACAGAAATGAGCTGGAACACATCTAAACACCACAAAATAAAAAAAAGACAGCTAATCTCAACAAATACTTCTCTCTCTGCTTCTGCGCTCTATTTCTCTCAAAATGTTTAAAATAGCTAAATTTTTACTGTTTTTCAGTGCATTCTGGGCATTTTGAAAGGTCTCCTGAGGTTATTAAAAAAAAAAAAAAACGCTTCTAAACGCAAATGCTCATATAATAGCATGTTCAATTATCTGTGCTAAACTTCTGTAATTTGTGCCACTAACATGTTAACAGAAACACATTCTTAAAGAACCAATGTTACCACATTCAGAAACTAGCTCTTAGTGGACTGAACCATATTACAAGAACTTTGGAAATAGAATCAGAGGTAGAAGCCATATATCATGATTAGAACCAGGTTACAAAAGTGATCTGGACAGATCATATTTGTTCTCTGATTTTTTTCTATCCATGTGATGAGATGAGAGAGAGAGAGAGAGAGAGAGAGAGTCCAGATCACTTGAGAGAGACAGATGTTTTGCAACAGCTCCCTTAAATCACACCAAGCACAGTGATTTTACAACGCAGAGCCACTGAATCAAAACAGTCTAATATAAATGCTACATTTAACATGAACTTTCATAATAACTATTCAGATTTTTTTAAATTCTTAGGTTACTGTTTTTCAAATAGAATTAAACAGCTTCTTACAAATATTTTCTATGTTACTAAGGTGAACTGTCTGAGTTGTTTTTTTACAACTTTGCCCTTTTTTTCAACTTTTATAAGGATTAATTATTCAAAGAGATCTGTACACTCTAAGCTGAATACTGGACATGTTTAATATAAGCATTATTTTGCTATAGCTAGACACAGAAACTTCCACAAATGCCTCAGATCTACCAAGCTAATTGAAATGATAAGCTAGCACACCAAACAGATAAGCATTTTTGAAAGGCTAGCCATACTACATTCTTATGGAAAATCCAATCAGTACATTTGATAATGCCATCAGAGAGATGACAACTGTTGTCCAAAAATGCTTCTGAATTTCCTTTTAACATTTGACTTTGAAATGAATGGATTTCCAGAATGAAACCATATTCATAAATTTTTCATCCTGCTCCTCTGATTTTTTTCACCATTACAGTTGAAAACCTTTGTTGTTTTGACCCCATTACTATTAGGAAATCGAACATATGTTTTGAAATTGATTATTTTCTAATGAAATTCTACCCATGTATGGCCATCTTAACTGTATTTTTAACTCAATTGCAATACATCAAAATACATAAAGATAAATGTGAGTAAGGTGCCAACCCTGACTGCATAGCAGAATCAGATGTTACAGAAAGAAAAAAGGAGAGGGCTCACCAGCCTAGTGTGTTATCCAAGACACCATTTATTCATAAGTAAAAGTGGATAATTATACTCACAAATATGAAACAATATAAAAGGCTTGTCACAATATTGGGAGCGAAACGACCAGAACCACTGTTCCTGCCCCCAAGTGGCCTAGGGTGGTACCACAAAAGCCTGCTGACACATTTCAAGGGTGTCCCCTCTTCCTCAGAACTAAATGTCTGTAGCACCATACATTCTCATATTCAATAAATGTATTAGGGCTATAACCACTAACTCCACCTCCAGTTATGGTCATCAGTTACATCAGTCATAGGCTCACAGGAAAACAGATACCCATCATTCACCTATTTGCATCCTCAAACTATGTTTTCTATTTGCTTTTGTTAGTTATTGGATGTCTAGTTCTGCTACTCAGCTTGGAATAGCACTCTGTTCTGATTTGTTTTTATGTATTTAGATGTGTTGATATTGACTGAAAAACACAGTTTCTGAAACACTTATTTGTTTTTTATGCACTGGCTTATTATTTCAATTGTTAAGTGGATTCCCTGTCCATTGTGAGTTAATGTTCCTAAAAGAAAATCCTATACTTTTCTACAAGATTAATAGAACTTGCTTATTGGACCATGCTGATTTTCTATGTTAGTTATGGCTTACCGCAATCTGTAAAATTTGGACTCTTGCCTTTTATAAATATACACTCAGAACTACATTTTTCATTCTCCACCTATTATTATTTCAATTGTCCAGTGGATTCCCTGTCCATTGTGATTTAATATTCCTAAAAGGAAATCCTATACTTTCCTACAAGATTAATAGAACTTGCTTATTGGACCATGCTGATTTCTATGTTAGTTATGGCTTACCACAAAAAGTAAAAATTGGGACTTTCCTTTTATAAATATACACTCACAATTACGTTTTTCATTCTCCACCTATTATTATTTCAATTGGATTTCCTAAAATTTTATAGGTTTTTATCTAGTAGGTTGATGTAAAGCAACACAGTTCCTAAGTCAAATACAGTGATGAAAAAAAAAGGCCCACTGTTTCTAGGGACACAGTACTGTTTGCTTACATCCAGTGTAAAAATAGAACTTTATCTAATAGGCCTGTCTCAGATTACTTGTGTAACTAGTTCATCCACTCATTACACAATCAGGCCAATGAAACTTGTGTGGAAAGGGAACTGCTGTACATACTGATGAAGAGACTATAGCTGATCCTGCTTCCTAAGCACTTCATTAAAATGCTTCTAAGGTACCAGATAAAGTGTAAGCCCTTATCACACACACTGTATGCAGCATATCAGGAAGTCCTGCAATGCATTCACACAACTATTGTATATTACTCGCTGAGAAAAGGCTGGATACTATTGATTTTTATAGTGCTTTCACTCTCTCCCAGGGGCGGACTGACAACTTATGGGGCCCCCGGATGATAGGGGATCATGGGGCCCTTGCCCACACTCAAAGCACACCCAAAAAAAGCCTATAAAAGGTACCAGGGGCATTTCATGGGGCCCCCTACTGACCCGGGCCATCAGGCAGTGCCCGAGTGCTTGAATGGTTAGTCCGCCCCTGCTCTCTCTTCAAGACCTACTAATTATGATGATCCCCTCCATATACCAGAGCAAGCAAGGATATAAGACTCTGTGAAGGAAGTGTGGGAAGAGGATAAAAAAAAAGAGCAGGAGTGTGACAGAGGCAAGGGGGTTGACCAACTAGTCAGACAAATGTATCCACCCTGCTTTACACAGGAGGGACTCTTTAAATTTTCTTCTGCTAGGCTGTAATCAGTATAAGCTCAATTTATAGTTTAGTATTCATTTGGTCACCCCTAAGGTTAGCTATACAATTTTCTTCAGAATTTTGCTTTAAATTTACCAAAAACCATATAATATGAGGTCAAACCTAAACAACACTTTAAATTGTATCCAATTAGGCAGGTCCTTGCTCTACATAGTTGAAGGTAAATCTAAAGGAAATTGGGCAGAAATTAAACAGAAAATTGTATAGCGTATGGCCAGCCTAAGCCAGTGTTTTGGGGGCTTTGCCTACTGCTGGGGTGTGTCCCTGACAATAGTGCAAGAAAGTACAATAATGCTGGGTTATGAATATTTATGTCCCCCTGGCCAAACTTTAGGATATTTATTGCAAGTAGTACAATCAGGAAGAGGATATAAATATCTGGGTTTACCCTTGTGAAGCTCCTGGGCTCCTGCTTAAGGGGGAAGATCTGTGTGGTTGTGAGACAAGAGTGTGGTGACTTGGCTCACACTGCTTTGCTAAAACTGATTTCCAAGAAGAAGTTGATCAAATGAGAAGAAACACCAGGGAGGAATTTTGCCTGAAGGTGCCTGAGAAGCTGGAATTTTGTGCGGACCTTACAAGGAATCTGGTTTCTTGCCCAAGAAGTCTGTGCTGCATCTGCACGTTTGTGTGCTTGAGAATCACAGGATCCCCATCCTGTGGCTTAAATGTCATTTAACCTGTACAGGTTGTGGGTATGGTTTTTCCTGGAGTCTGCCATATTCTCAAGGTGCCCTAATCCTCTCTCCCTGAGTGTATGGTGGCAAATAAACTCAAAATTGTTACTTTGAAGTTACTGGTACCCATCTCAAAGTGATGGGACAACTTTCTGACACACTTCTCCCTTCCCCCACACCCACATGAAACACTGCTCTTAGTAACAGCACTTTCATTCCTGTAGCAGGGCTGTTGATTGGAATAGTGTTGAGGAGGGAGGCCACAAACTGCTGCAGAGCTGGGCGCATGGTATATCTGTGAAGCACACAAGAACATTACCAACTAGTGTCCGCCACCCCTGCCAATCCCTCCACTGGCGTCCGAACAAATAAAATTCAAAATATTAACAACAACATACAAAGCCATCCACAACTCTGCCATGAGCTCATTACCAATCTTGTCTCCAAATACTACCCAAACTGTCTTCTCTGCTCCCCTCAATACCTCCAGCTCTCATGCTCCCTTATCTCCTCCTCCCATTCTTGCCTCCAGGACCTCTTCCAAGTCTCTCCCATCCTATAGAACTCCCTACCCCAATAAGTCCAACTATCTCCTATTCTGTCCACTTTTAGGCGATCTTTGACTAATTTCTTCAGGGAAGCCTCCACGTAACAGCATCTCACCTTCACATAACAACTGAATCTTTTATTTCTCCCATCAGCTCATCCTTCACCTATTGTTCCACTTACCCTTCCCTATTCGATTGTAACTGATCAGGGACAGGACCCTCCTAACCCTCTTGTTTTGAATTGTATCGTTGCTGTACTGTCTCCCTTTATATTGTAAAGAGCTGTGCAAACTTTTGTCCCTATATAAATCCTGTATAATATTAATAATAATAATCTAGACCTATGCTAAACACATTTCTAAATGGATATAATGTTCTCTAATACTTATCTATATTTTTCAGCAAATGGTACTTTATTATATGCATAATTCATATATATGCGAAGAAAACATCAATGTTGAAACAACATAATATTTATCTTATTGAATATTCAGTATTTTATATTTAAAGATTCTTCTGATAACAATGGAGTCCTTACTCGACGTGAATCTGAGGGATCTCTGAATTCTGCAACAAGCTTAGACCTGATTTCTTCCTTCTCTGGAAAATCTGAGGTATTGAACCCGCAGTGTGTTTACTGTGCCCAGACATAATTTAATAAGTATAATTTTCAAGATTCAGTTGTCTATAATTCCAATCATTACATCTTTACAAGAGTACCTCCTTAAATTGTGGGGCACACAGGACTTGTAGGTTAATAGAGGTAATTGCCACTGGCAATCGGCTCTGTAATGTAATAACAATTGCACCCCTGAAATCCCTTTAGATAGGCAGAACTCCTAGCAAATAACATTGCATCTTCTAATCCTTGTGCTTACTCAGTGATTTATCTTTTTCCTTACAGAATAGCAGTCGCACCAACAGCTTAGAACGTGAAACAGAGTGGAAGCATATCAAATATTGCTGTGTCTACCTCCCAGATGGCACGGCCTCCCTGACTGCTGTCAAACCTGGACTTAATATACGGGAAATGCTGACTGGAGTCTGTGAGAAGCGAGGATATAGTCCCTCTGATGTGAAAGTATATCTAGCAGGGAATAATCAGGTATTCTAGCTTTGAAGTAGACATCATGGAATGATATGTTGCAGATATAACTTGTTGCGCTGATCACGACTAATAATGTTGTACATTAATTTTTTTTTTCTATGTTATATACTCTTATGCATCCACAACAAATATATTAAAGTCAAACTGATTCTGCTTAAAAAAATTACCTCTTTGTACATATTTGTAGTGCTACCCTGGCAGGAGCTGCTGATTTTAACACAGGTCTCCTTTCCCAAACAGTGCAGAGGCAGCCAGGCACAATGCAACATTTCACACATTCTGGCTCAATGATCAGTCTAGGGGATGTCTTTTAGGATTTTTATTGCTGGATAACTTAGTATGGGATATAGGGTAATATGGGATAGTCCAGCTTCACCAAACATACGCAGGAGACAGTTCTCTATGTTGCAAATTTCAGGAACAGATCTTCTGCTCAGCTCAGAGTACAGTCCTCCTCCGAAAGACTGGTGGAGGCCAGAGATATGTAACCCTCAGAAAGGGAACTTCTTGACCTAAGTTCAGAGGATGGTTTTCCCATGAGAAACTAAAGGAGACTAACGGTATGAACCTCCCAAGAGAACTACTTGGCCAAAAATTAGTGTAAAGTCTTTCCACATAACTGAAGGGGACTAGTCAGTATGTAACTCTCAGAAGAGGAACTGTGTGGACCAGCAAATACCAATAGTAAAAAATAAATCTATAGTGTTGCGCTCCCAATCCTAAAATCAATATTTAGTTATTTGAATATGATCTCTATAATAAAGATCACAATAATTAAGAATGATGTGTGCAAATAAACATAAATACTAATATTCTTAAACTTTGAATTAATACAAGTAAATAATGTGCATAAAAAATGATCAATAACAATAAATCACTAAAAAATTAATAAAAATATAAAAAATAAAAAATAAAATATAAAGATAAAAATAAAAATAAAGATAATGTCCCAAAAAGTGACTTTGTGCTGGAAAATCTTCAATCTAAAATAATTATAAATCGGTGACTGCTTGTGAATCCTCCCTCCTGTGAAGATGTGCGCTCACCTCATAAGAAGCCTGCAATTAGGCTATAAAAGCTTGCGGTTCACCTCCTTTGGAACCTACTAGTTTAGGACTCCTGCTTGAAGATAGGATGAATCTCCTCTCCAGAGGGTGCAACTCCTCTATACTTTCATCTCCATGTGATTCTCCACATATAAAAAAGATCTCGACATGGTGCTTTATCTTTTATATAAGTATGCCTTTTATTTGCTTATGATATGGCACTCACATATAAAGTGTGCGGATAGTGGTAGCACAATTGCAATCCCAAACCGCCGCTGATTGTCGGAGCTGTGTACTCGTGGTCCGGCTAACAAACTGACTCCCTCCGAGTGACGTTGCAGTCCCACCCCTACGCGTTACGCCACTGGTCACGTGGCTTCATCAGGGGGATTTGATCAAATCCCCCTGATGAAGCCACGTGACCAGTGGCGTAACGCGTAGGGGTGGGACTGCAACGTCACTCGGAGGGAGTCAGTTTGTTAGCCGGACCACGAGTACACAGCTCCGACAATCAGCGGCGGTTTGGGATTGCAATTGTGCTACCACTATCCGCACACTTTATATGTGAGTGCCATATCATAAGCAAATAAAAGGCATACTTATATAAAAGATAAAGCACCATGTCGAGATCTTTTTTATATGTGGAGAATCGCATGGAGATGAAAGTATAGAGGAGTTGCACCCTCTGGAGAGGAGATTCATCCTATCTTCAAGCAGGAGTCCTAAACTAGTAGGTTCCAAAGGAGGTGAACCGCAAGCTTTTATAGCCTAATTGCAGGCTTCTTATGAGGTGAGCGCACATCTTCACAGGAGGGAGGATTCACAAGCAGTCACCGATTTATAATTATTTTAGATTGAAGATTTTCCAGCACAAAGTCACTTTTTGGGACATTATCTTTATTTTTATTTTTATCTTTATATTTTATTTTTTATTTTTTATATTTTTATTAATTTTTTAGTGATTTATTGTTATTGATCATTTTTTATGCACATTATTTACTTGTATTAATTCAAAGTTTAAGAATATTAGTATTTATGTTTATTTGCACACATCATTCTTAATTATTGTGATCTTTATTATAGAGATCATATTCAAATAACTAAATATTGATTTTAGGATTGGGAGCGCAACACTATAGATTTATTTTTTGCGGTTTATCACATTGGTAGTTATGTGCTAGAGGTTTGCATCCAGCATTAGAGTGTATTAATAAGGAGTTTTTGTTCATTTTCTGGCTCGCAAGATATTTATAATAAAATACCAATAGTACACAATCACCAGTATCTTGCAGTAAAGCAATACTTCTGAGGCCAGAGGAGCGCCTATGCCCATTCAGCTTCTTCAGGTGCCTTCCAGTGAGGCTGTGCGGATAGGATCCTCAGGTGATCCTCAGGTGAAATTTCAGGGAGACAGAGATAACTTCCAGATGTAGGTCCCCCGGTTCTGCTCACCCAGGACCTTGATGAAAGACTGCTGGTATCAGGATAACTGCTGCACGTGGGGGTCGCCACCCCCACCCACATGGGTGGATTCCCTCTAACGAGGATAAAAGAGAAAGACTTTGCTGCTCCAAATACCAGACTATTATTATGCCTTTCCAATCACCTTCTGGGCACACCTCTCCAGGGATTGGCTGGAGCACCAGAATGAGAATGAGATTTGCCTTGCTCAGCCCTCTACGTTTCAGAAGCCTCTTGAATACAGGGGAGAACAATCTAATCTAATACTGTGAGATTCAGAGCAGCCAAATGCAATCAACAACTGCTCCACTGATTACAGAGGAGACTTAACTTGCTTATGACCTAGCAACCTAACTAAGAGCTACATGCTGTATGTCAGAGATGGACAGCTTGTGAACACAGATCTCAGTTTTGCTCTTACAACATGTTTGTTGTTGTAGTACAACTACTTATTTTTTCCCCAATACTTTATTTTCTGCACAAGGTAACAATGCAGAGAATGCATGGCATATACATCAAAAATGGTGTCATGTCTGTGGAAGGGTTCAGCAAAAAAGAACCATGTCACCATATATGCACAGAGTGCTTCAACACAATGTTCTTTAAAAGCATTAAACATATAGTGCGAGTAAAGCAACCCCAATCACAACTACTTTTAAAGTGTATCTAAACCCAAAAACGAAATGTAATATATTGCATCTTATCAGTTATTAAATGTATTGCTGCATTGGTTTCCACTTTTCAAGCATTTTCCCCTTCACCTGCTAATTCTCCCAAAAAAAACACTTCCTGTCCGTTTGTGTCCACACACTGATTTCTCTACTGTATCTGTGGTGGAAGGAACCATAGTTGTCACCTAGGCTGGACTTTTCTGAATATTATGAATATTGTTATTAAGGACTGGCAAGCTGCAATATAATAAAACATTTTTTTTGGTTTAAAGATTAACTCCACTTTTGTTGAGAAAAAAAACATTCCCCTCTGGGTGATTTATGTACTTTGCAAGGATTTTAACAAACTTTGTTGCAGGTTTCCACCTGCAAGAAACAGTTATCTGTTTGTCTGTGTCCATGTTCAAAGTGAAGGAGAATAGGAGTGGTTTTACAATGATCAAACAGCTGTTGCACCTGCAGGGCTCTAATGAGGAAAATTGCAGGGTCTGCATCCCTTAATACATTATTTCCCGTTGGGAGTATCTCACCAAAATAACATTTTTGTTGCAGGGAATACTCAAAATGTGATTTTTTTTATCTTAGTGCAGATGTCTAGGAAAATCAGTGAGCCAATCACAGAAGCAGGAATTGACATTTCTCCTGGTAGCCATATTGTATTACATTTTACAGAAAATTACACTACTGCAGATTGAAAAGGGAAGGTAATTTTTTAATAACATCCAATTACAATAGGTTTTATTACATACACTATAATATTTGTTTAATATTATTTGTCTTTTTTCCCCCACAAAAGTGAAGTTACCCTGTAAATATAATTTAAAGGTTACAATGAATTTCATTTAACTAGTCTTGTTCTTCCACACTCAAAACAAATGGCATTGGCTATGTTTCTCAGCCAGATGGCTGTAGTCTGCCCAGTCTAATCCTATTTTCATTTTAGATGAGGAAGCTGCTTCCAGACATGACCAAACTGTGATATGGGCCCTTCATTGCAATGAATGACTAGCCCATCTTTTAAGAGTGACACATCTACAGCAATGAAACAAAAACAAACTGTAGAGGCATTTGTTTTTTTTCATTGCCCGTGGACAGGGTTGGTTAAGAAATATGTACTATGTCTACCTTTTTATCCTTTTAAGGTTAATTGTACTTTTAGAACATACTGTATTAACCTTTTATATGTCCAGTATAGCAAGCAACATTGCACATTTAAACTTTCATTTGTTATTTTTGTCCTTGTGATTTCAGAGTTTTCATCATAGGCCCAGTCCAATGTAAAAACTGCTCTGTTTACATTTAGCTTGTCTGCAGAATAATTGCAGCAAGAAGTGACAGCAAGGAAGGCATATTCTCCATTTGCCTTTCAGCGATTTCAACACTGGTAGCCATGAATTATTTGTATTCTGTATCACACTTACTCAATCAATAAAGAATCCAAACTAGAAAAATAGCTTCAGCTAAACCCTTCTAATCCTCCTAGTAAATATGATTCCCGAAAAAAGCAGAATGCACACGTAGAGGCACCCTTGGTGCTTTCCTTGTTTTCAGTACTGAGATTGTAAATTCTGATTTTAGAATGTTTGGTTGCTCACTAATTTGTAAGTTTATATGTGTAGACAATATAAAAAATATAATAAGATAACCATATAAGTGAGCGCTCTATACATAAAAGCCGCTGAACATTCAAGGAAACCAGATAAAGCCTTGTGCGAATAATGGAAACAATAATATGCAGCGCTGATAGTCAATAAAAGATGACTGATAGGTAATGCAGTAAATAATGGTGAGTATCAATCAGCCAGTGACAAAGTAGGTG